TAGTCGTCGTAGCCAGAGTCCTTTATCAATTTCCTTATCTACCACGAGACTTTGCATGTATCTCATGAGTTGGAACGGTGTCTTATCACCTAACCCGACATTACTTAGGAAGCGGCCTGGTGTTTGCCTATTGGAAAGCGCTGTGCATCTTAGTACTCCTTCTTTTAATTTATCTCAGGAAGATTCCGTGCTGGGATGTACGATGTATTCGTGTACTTACTTAGCAATTTCGTCCGCTAGTGCAGCACTCAAAATGGCGAATTTGGCATTCTGCGAAGAGAGCTTATTGTAAGTGAAATAATGTTCCGGTCAGGCAGACCAAAGATGAGTGTCTCTCTGTTTAAAAGCTGGTACATTAAAAATAATAGTAATAAAGAATTCCGGCTCACAATTATAAGAGATAATGGAAGACATATTACGAGTCATGCAAAAGTGGTTTGAAAACAACAAAATAGCGACGTTTATACAAAAGGAATTTATGGAAAACAAAATGAAAAATGATGATGCTTACCATGAAAAATAAAGGTTACGCGTTGAAAAGGTACGGCCGAATGAGCTCAAAATAATTTTAAATATGGACCAACAAAAGTGAGAATGCTGATTATCCGGCAAGTGTTCTGGTACATCGAGTTCGCCAGTTAATAGTGTACTAAATATGATTCCGATTATGATACTATAGTACGCCCATGGTTTCACGTTCTGCGATATACTAACTCTGCGAAATCGAATTTTGAAAAGCGCTACGCGAAGTAAAATGTCTGTCTCCACGCAAAATGTATACAGAACAAACGAAAAGTAATGTTCAATAATACAGTGGCAAATATGCAACAAACATATATTAAGTTAGTTTCTATAAACGTTTAATATGGATACATAAATTATTATTATAAACGTACTGTTAGAGTTGATATAGAGGCACTGCAAATGTTTAGCGCCTTCCTGGTGTGCAGACGGACAAAGTTCATCACCAGATCCTAGACTCTTGAGATTTCGTCGTGGTTTTGACGAGATTCTTTGGCTCACTGTGTTTTGTGATAATATGCTAAAGCAAATTATAAATGAACAGCGCAACATAGTTAAAGATCGAAACACTTTATCGATAGTAATGGTCACGGCACAAGAGGAATAACCAAGCTCAGTCGACGGAAAGAGTTAGACTGCTCGTATCCACTGCACACCCTCTTTCAAACTGACATCTTTCCTTCCCAGACCTGTGTTAATACAAGGAACGAAGGCCTGTATATTTCCACTCACTTGAAAATTTATTACTTGAACAAAGAATCTGAATAAAACAGAAGATATACTTAATGCGATCTGTGAGAGCAGGTGGAGTGGATGTGGACCAACGGAACTGTTAAGTGAACTAAGAATTTGACTGAAACAAAATATATACATAATGTGCCATTTCTCTCCATTTAATAAAAAGTATACAATATCATTATTTTGGACTGTACATATTCCAAAAGTTCTTATAATGCAAATGATTTGAGTGAGTTTGAACGCCAGTTTTATTCCTGATTTGTTAGGAATTCTACCTAGGTTGTGAGAGGTTCGTTCTTTGTGCGGAAGCACTACTGATGTTTAGATTCCCTATTGTTGGTGTTGTCATCTTCCTGTGTACGTTTGTTATGCAGAAGTTCTGTAGTTATAATTGATATGATTATGAATAATAAACTGTGTCTGAGGCATTGTGCATTAAATAATATCGTTTCGCCATATGACATTTTCAATAAATAAATATGTAATTTCATATTACCGCAGTGCTCTGGTTCTAAACACATACTAACAGTCAATGAATAGTATTGCAAGTGATCTTTCGTTTGTCCACAATCTACTCGGATCATACAGATAACAACGACGGATACACTGAAGGAGAGTCTATCAGGCTGTTACCGACAGCAACCAAAGCTCTTATACAGTAGGAAACAATTTCCTCCTGCAGTGTAATGACAGCAAGATTCACTTCAAAAGGAATGGAGGAAGGTTACAATTATCGAATACTACGCACCTAAAAAACAACTCAGAACAGGAGGAGGAGGAATAATTCTGTAGACAACTGCAAACAGTAATGCATAGCATCCCAAATGGCACCATAAATCCCCGTGGGCGACATGAATGCTAAGCTGGGAGCAGATAATGCAGGAAGAGAACGCATCATCGGTGGAGAGGCACCAACGAAATGAATGATAACGCCGAACTCATCGAAGACCTCTGCGCACTCAGTGATATGGAGATTGACGGTAGCGTGTAGAAGCAGGAGAATATACAAAAGGCGACATGGATCCCATCCAATGGATACATCAAAAGCCAAACAGACGTGGTATAAATCTCAAGAGAGTAGGAACACGGTTTGCTTGACATCATCTGCTTGACCATCATCTAGTTCGAGGAACCTTCGAGGTGAAGCTGAAATCCATGAAGACAAATTCAGACAGGACACAATCCAAGTTCAAGATTCAGAATCTGAAGGACAAAACCACAGGGGATGCCTTCACCGCAGATATCAGAGCAAAATCCGAGACATCACGTGTCACCAGTTAGGAAACCTCAAGGGAAGAAGATTTGATTGCTCTGAAAATGCTGTTCAAGGAAACGTGGGAAGAAAGAAGAGACAAGGCAAGGGATGGCTCTCAATGGACATCTGGAAGCTAATAGATGAGAGAAAGATGCTGAAACAAGAGATGAACCAATGCGAGCATGGACGTCAGATGGAGAAACTGGGTTCAGTGTACATGTCACTGAATAAAGAATTGAGTCAGTGGGCTAGGAAAGACGAAAGAAAATTGTACGACACACTGGCCATTAACTGAAGCAGGGTAAGCCACAGGCGAAAGGGTCATAGGAACATTATATCAAATGACCGGGCCTTATCCGAGAAGAGATAAACGCAGATGAAACCAATAAAAGTTGTTCAGGGGAACCTAATTACCAAAGAGGAGAGACAAATGAAACAGTGAATGGGCTGTTCATTTCACAGGACTCTTAAATCTACTGTCACCTGTATCTCGTCCAGCAACACCAACAATATCAGGTACAGAACTGCCAGTGAACACCAATCCTCTAACAAAAGCAGAGGTCTTGAGTGCAGCCAAGCTACTGAAGGATGGATAGGTAGCAAAGCCAGGCGGAATTTCCCACCAATCACCGAAAATGGCCTTACACACCATAGCATATATGCTCACGCCACCACTTCAAAGACTTTGGAAGGAAGAAAAGCTACCTACCGCTTGAAATTAACGCCGGTCGCCTTGTCAAACTACCAAAGAGAAGTGTCTCAGGCCTCTGCAAGGATTGGTGCGGAATCATGCCCTTCTTCACGTCAAGTAAAATACTAAGTCGAATCACCCTGGAGAGAATAAATGGTGCACTGGATGCAGAACTCCGCGGGCGTAACGAGATTGATTCAAGAAAGGCGAATCATGTGCAGATCAAATAGCAACTCTAGGCATCTTTATCGAACAAAATATGGAATGGCAATCAAACCTTCACCTCAACGTTATGAATTTTGAAGAGGCCTTTGCCAGTGTTGACCGAGAATTAATTTCGAAACTACTTCAACACTACGGTGTGCAGCGACCAAGTGTTAATCAACCTCATTCAACAGCTAGCTATATGACAGCCCAGTGTATCAGATGATCCACAGCGAAAAACTCAGCGAGACGTTCGAAGTGCATGCATAAGTAAGACAAGGCTGCCTGTTACAATGATGATATTCCTAAATGGGGTGGACTGGATTATTATTCATGAGGTGTGAGAAAACAAGAATACCTTGAACCTTTGATAAGAAGACTGCAGAAAATCTGGATTTCGCGGATGATTTATGTTTAATGTCACGTAAACTCGAAGACTTACAGGCGAAAACCAGCAAAGTGGCTGAAGAAGCGGCAAAGACAGGACTGCAGGTGAACATAGAGGAGACGGAGATGAGGATAACCAACCAACAGCAACAACAACTAGCACCAGTCACCATCAACAGGAGAGATTTAACAGAGGTTACCTGCCTTACTTTTCTAGGCAGCGCGCATCGTTTCAACTATAGGAACGAATAAAGATGTCAAAGCCCGTGAGTATCGGAAAGGCAAGGTAAGCCTTCAACAACCTGAAACCAGTTTAGAAACTTTCTGTACTCCAAGGCATTGAGAAATAGATTCGGATTTTTAACACAAATCTAATGTCAATTCTTCCATACTGGTCAGAAACTTGGTGCACCACGAAAAGAATTCCCAATAAGTTATAGGTTTTATCAACAGCTGCTTTCGCCGTCTCCATACAGGAGATAAAATGACCAGAGGGAACTAGCGACAAGAAACTTTGGCGATGAACGAACCAAAAAAAAGCCAATCGCTGTAAAACTATGTAAGAGAAAATGGAGATGGTCAGGCATACATTGAGGAGGTCGTCGAATGGCATCGTTCGCCAGGGTAGCCCTCAAGTGAAATCTCAATGGGAAGCGACGAGTGGGTCGTTTGAGGGCGACAAGGAGGAGATTGCGTGGGATGGAGGAGACGAGAGATTATGGCCCACCGTGAACCCGGCGAGAGAGGACAGCAGAAAATAGAACAAAGTGGGAATGCATTTTTCAATCTCTATGTTTTACTCGGAACACAAGGGGATGATAATAATATCAAGCGGATCACATATTTTCATCGGAACAACTTGGTCTCCAAAGGGAATTACGGTGAAATTTTACTACTCACACTGTGAAAATTTTAAATTGCCAGTCAATCTGTAATCTGAAAACTGTGAACTTGATTCATGACAATAATCCCTACAAAACCAATACCTGACAGTCGAAATATTTTATCAGTAAGAATGACCACAGTACAAAAGGTGCAACCAAGTTCACACGATGAAAAGAGCTAGAGTGTTCTTGGCCATCGGATAGTCTTTTGGATCTACAACCTTCTTTTTCAAGACCTAGTCGACCCCATTAACCAAAAGGACAAATGGTGTTCGAAATTATCTCAGCTTACACGACACTTGTTTATTTCACTGGCGGGCAGGAAGAATAACGTTCGTTTTTCACCTTTTGTAATATTAACGAAACCTATATTATAAACACTAATCAGTGTTTTTATTTTCTTTACTTGCAGGAAAATACTCGGGAGTCAATTTTCTGCGCCAGGAGATACAAGAATTGCAGGACCTAAACTTTAACGAAGACCAGTAAAACTGTTAGACCCAAAGACTAGACTCCCGCACACTTTAAAAGTTGATTACGTGGAATAAACGTGTTCGGTTTTCATTACTCGTGTATCTGCTGTTTTGCTTGTTACACTTTGTGTGAGCTTAACTTCATCGTTTGTATCGTAAATGCGCTTTTATTGTTCCATATCTGTAACCTTTATAACTGCCAAGAAATAATTATGGTTAACTAACGGAAAAAAGCTAAGAACAAGCTAAGTCATCTATTAAACTGCCAGAATTAAGATTTTCGGGGTTTTCTGTTGTAATTCTAATGCAACATTCCACTCCGCCCGAAATAGCCGCCCAATTTTGTATATACCCAAGCTCACAACAATTCTAAACTTATTCTAACCTATTCTTCGATAATGCCTTTTTATGGTAAATGAAGATTTTATCTACACACTATGTTCTGAAATAACGCTGGTCGTGCTTTAAAAGAGAGCTGGGTGCTGAATTAAGTCTTTTCGTTCTGAAGTAACGCTAGTCCGCGCTGAATATGTCCTGTGAGGGCTGAAACAACGCTGATAAGCAAACCCAGTAGGTTCTGATCTACTCCTGAGAATGCCTAGAAAAAGAACACGGTGCTGAATTGGTGCCAGTCATGCTGAAAACCAGCACTGATTTCTAGTCTGTGCCATTACAGAATCCATTTCACAACGGATTCAGAAGTTACTCACTATAGAACGTGAGAATTATTTCAGAATTAGTGAGATTTAATTTAGCATTATGGTAAGCTTGGGTACCATACGTGTATCTGCTACACCTAGTGACACCTTACTCTCAAGCGGTCATAGTAGACCACTTAGCTCACCAGTCCATCGTGAGTGTCAAGCCACTCTTGCAGTAAGCGGTTGGAAGTGAGAATAACTCGATACTGACAACTTGTAACACCACCAGTCCCAAAAATGTAGCATCTTAGATCAATACTTTTATCTCACTACACGTATAGTGCGTGTAATGAAACTTCAACCACTAGGTCCCGTCTTGTCTCAAACGCATTCTCATAAAATATTCCCCTCATCTAGTACGGTGGACCTCAGAACTTTATCTTTCTAAAACCATATATTCATCCACATAGGACACATCCCGTAAAAATAACAGTGGTTTTTCTTGACTCTAGCTTGTCAGTAAAGATTACTATGTAATAAACTTATTAGAAGGGGATCTTGATATGAAATTTACTGTGATCAAAGCGCACAGTAGTTTAAATTTGAACTGAACGTTCTAAAAATTACTAAGTGCCTTACGCAGTACTGTTTGGAAGGTTGAAGGTATCGACGTTCGCGAACCGTACGGAGTATACTAACGTAATTCTTATCACATCAAATGCTCGGTTAGTTACTTGGTAGTTGAAGTTAACATAAACCTTTTTAACGTATTTTGCAGGGTAAAAGTGTTATGAGCGCTAGGGATACAACACGGAATTTATTCTTTACATGATGTAAATTTAAACTTTTTCTGTGGGGACGTTTATCTCAGTTTCCTTAAATTTTCGTTTCAGGAGTCTGTAGTGAGAAGTAAACGCAGAAAGTCTAGCAGCTAAATCGTAAGTTAGCGTATTATCGTTTTACTTTAAATATGACTATTTCGCACCTTGATGTTGATCTTTGACATAAACACAGCACAACATAGGTACAAAGAACCATTTAACTAGCGGTCTGGAAATATTATTAGGTAGATCCGGCGCATATGCATTCACTCTTTGTGATTTATCATATCCAATAAAATTCTATTGTTCTTCCATATTACTATTCCTTTTACCTCGTTTCTGTTTATTATCTTTCTTTTGAGTCTCTCTCTACTGTCTTCCGTTGCTTTGTGTACTACATGCAGTGCGGCAACTCGAACTGCTGCACATCTGTGCAAAAATATACGTTGAGACCAGTCAGTCAGCCATTAGGCAGATCAATATTCAACCGAGTGTAATAATCACATCACTACCCGTCTCCATGTTATGAAATACAAGCAAACTTTTGGGTACCTGACATTTGCATACTTTTCTGACATACGGCTAGCATTCACTTCTGTACTTTGGGTAGGCTGGAATAAGGACTACATCAACAAAAGGTGAATGGTGGCCAAACCTGGATATTACTGAGGCTGCTTAAATGTAAGTTGATGTTGATAAAAAAGAAAGCCGTTAAAAAACAAAAGGCTGGCGAGATAATAACTAAGGAAATAGGGAAAGGTAAATGGAACAGTGAGAAACAATTTAGTAAGCCTCTAACCACTGTCCAGTTGCAGTCTCAATGAGAAGTATATCAGAACCTCTTTTGACAGTATCGAATAAGATGTTCGTATGTGTCAGACATTCCCCTCATTGTGGAAATCAAACCAGCCCTAATGGATTGGTGACTGACAAACTCTTGGTACAGATACATAAGATTAAATACCAAGATTGGACATTAAGCTGCAGGTTGGGAAGGTAAGCCTACTGACGAAAATATGAATTCTTCTTAATTTAGAGGATTGCGACAAGTTTTATGCATGCATGTTCATCACCTAGAAGGATGCGTTGTACATCAGAAGTGTGAACACGCTTCTATGACATTAAAGGACATTACTAATTCATGAAGTCAGTAACTGTTTCTTTGAGTCGTTTATGAGTTTCTGGTTGGGGTTCACGCGATAGTGCAAAACTGTGGCTAAAATATATAGACATGGCTCACAGTCCATGTTAATTTGTTTATCGGATATATAACACAGTGAGACAGTATTATTTACTGGATGACGTCTTGAGCACAGTTTATTGTTCATAATCATACCAATTATTTCATATATATATATATATATATATATATATATATTGTATGCATCTTAGAAGAGCTGTGAAATTAACAAGATCAATGGAACGTTACCTAACCTGAGAGATTAGATAATCTAGTACTTTATACTCCAGAAAATACTGAACCAAATCAGTAGACGGAACGAACCAACGACTACTGGAAACTTTATATATAACTTAAAATAATCCTAGCGTGTTTAAGACAATACCAAAACATGATTTTTTGGAACATCTCTGTGTAAGCCATAGCTTCTTCAGCAGAATTAATTGACTTTTATTAACCATCAAGATATACAGTCAAAAATTACATGAACTGAACTCCTTTGAACGTCATTTGTCGGTAGATATTTGTGCCAATAGAAAAATGTAGTCATCACATATGTGCAACGTTTAGTGTCAAAGATGCATATTTGTGTGTATGAATGTTTGTATATTGTTTGTTATACGGAAAACACGTCCATTCATATGTAAAAAACATGATGGTACTTCACAAAGGTCACGACATAGGGTTGAATAATATTTTTTATCTACTTTGCTTCGTTAGAGTCTGCCATATAGGTAACAAGTCTTCCTTCCCTCCTATTTATTGCATTCGATGTGGTTAAAATATGCAAGACTTCAGAGGTCAGGTCCTAGAATTTCGAAATTGTCGAAACCGATCGTATGTCCGCTTTCTATAGCATGCAAAAATATATCTGATCTTTTTTAAGACTAATTTTGCTTCATTCCAAGGCGGACGTTTCGTGTACAGCCTGTGTTTATTCACTCCGACCTTCACCTGTCTACTGCTTTCCCCATATAAGAAGCCTCACATTCTGAACACCTAAATGGATTCCCCAGTTTTGGTTTCAATTCTCTAAGTAGATTACGTACCTCTACTTTTACTTTATTTAGAGTACTAGACATTTTGTACCAGTGCTTATGGACCTGACTCGATATGTTCTAAAGCTTTTTTGTCATAATCTTCTCTATTGAGAATTACGCTGACATTGCCTTTATCAGCTTTAGCTATGACAATAGTTTTGTCCGATCTTAAAGTTTGTAGTGCATGACGTTTGTCCTTCGACAAATTTGTAGTTGCCTGCTTTTGATTTGACAGGACACATCCAGTTTCTTTTTACTTTCTTCTCTGGCTTTGTGTGCTGAGTAAAGTGTAGTGACTCGAACTGCTGCACACTGGTGCAAAGTTCTGTGTTCAAACCAGACAGACAGACACGTCCAACCTTAAGATGCAATTCATTAGCTTTAACTTCAGGTAAAAGGGTTAGTGTAGGATCAATGATGGGAGCTATTTCTATCACTTTCAGCGGTTTTCTAGTTATGTGAAAGTTTATTCCCTTTCAAGTAACGCCACTGAGTTCTTCGTATGACAAATTGCCTACTGTTCTTGTCTTAGTTCCAGTCGCCACACTTCACTCAGCACACAAAGCCAGAGAAGAAAGTAAAAAGAAACTGGATGTGTCCTGTCAAATCAAAAGCAGGCAACTACAAATTTGTCGAAGGACAAACGTCATGCACTACAAACTTTAAGATCGGACAAAACTATTGTCATAGCTAAAGCTGATAAAGGCAATGTCAGCGTAATTCTCAATAGAGAAGATTATGACAAAAAAGCTTTAGAACATATCGAGTCAGGTCCATAAGCACTGGTACAAAATGTCTAGTACTCTAAATAAAGTAAAAGTAGAGGTACGTAATCTACTTAGAGAATTGAAACCAAAACTGGGGAATCCAGTTTGTTGTATACATATAGTCCTTCACTTTATATACTGTACAATGCTTTGCTGTTTGAATCTACTTTATTGTAAATTCTCTTATAGATACCGGTTTCTGTAGAGTCGTACTATGGCAACTAATATTAATCTGCACACTACATTTCTGGAAGTTAAAAATAACTTTGAGAATTACTTTGACACATTCATCAATCTATTGCATCAAAACCATCCGGAAAGTCTTGGATTAGTCAAAAAGCATGTTCAAGATGTAAGTGTTAACATATTTTGCGTTATTACTGTAATGGGTGTTATTTGACGTAGATTTTGTTACCCTTTATCATTTGTTTCGCAACCAAACCATCCAGCTCAGAGAACACAACCACACCAAAATACTTTGTTTCGCTTGAGTTTCTCATAGATTGAGTTATTAAGAATTTCAGCAAACGTGTAAGTCTTATTTACTCACTGGTTATTGATTATGGGGTGTTTCCGGTTTCTGTATACTAGTGCTAATTAACACTATTGAACTGAGATTATTCGGTTTAAACGGGCTACTGTGTGTCAGTCAACTTCAGATTTGAAGTTTGACTCTTTCTGTTTATATGTATATCCCATAATACAAAGTATACTGCTTAAAAGCTTGAATATCTCTACGAGTTTCCTTGACAATAATCACTGCATTAACCAATTTTTAATTGTTCATATGCTTTTTATCACAACGTATTCTAGGTAAATATATCCAATTTGCAAACATTTCACTTATCATTTTTGAAGGGGATATTGGCATTACAGTAATGGGGTTCATTAATTTTAGTATTGACTTACAACCAGTGCGTTCCGGGTTCCAATCTCTTTTTATCTAATTCAGTTTAAGAAATGTGATATTATAAGTGTAGGTCAGTCTGGTGTATGAAATATCTGTACCGAGTAACTGGATTGCTCTGAATTGTGAAAGTATTGTAGCTATCCGAAAAAAAACAAATGTTCGACTGTTATACCTATGTTGTGATTCATTTACGATTAGAGCAACAGTAAATTACCTGCATATTTCATCAAATTGATGTTTTTCTTCTAATCATGCAATTACACATCATTCACACTATAAATTTTCGATTGGATGTTCCGTAGAATGACCAATGACATTTTTACACTTTTCGAAATGTGTAAAATAAAGATAAGTTGTGATTTTATAATGGATCACGTCAATAAATAATTGATGATTTTGGAATTGTTCAACTGAATGAATTAATAAATAAAAATGTGAGTGTTTACATATTACTATGAAGACAGTTATGAGTCTGTTCAGGTCTCTTTTGATTGTCATGTTTTGCATCCACAAAGTAAGACAGCACATGTCTGCACAATTCAGTGTAGCTTTGATGGTGAGTTGAATATCAAATTACCACAGAAGGCAGTAAATGTATTGAAATGACGATGTAAAAGTACAGGGAAACGATTTCCAACTAATCAAACTGTATTTATCACTTGACGAATATTTGTAGAACTAAATGCATTACAAGTACTTCGGGATATCTTTTTCCATGTTGCGGAACCTTAATTTACATATTTGCCACTTCTTCATGATATTATTGCAAATCTGATTGCACATCTTTTCTCAAAATATTTATTTCATTTTCATTTCTACACTTTTTGTTTTATAGGTAGCGTCGTATAACTTAAGTAGTGGAAAACGAATTCGAGGTATACTAGTTGCACTATCCTACATCGTCTTCAGTAAAGAAAACGATTATGCAAAGGAAAAGTTATCTTTCGCTTACGTCATTGGTTGGTGTATTGAACTGGTAAGTGCTTTTCTTTACAGTCCAGCTTATTTATTCGTTGCAAGTCAATTGCAGTCGCGAAAATACGTTGTAAACTACTGGATATTTTCTACAGCCCACAGTAAAAGTCTCCTGGGGATAGCTTTTTCTTAATTGGTGTGGAAAACATTTTAGTGTATTCACCTGCACACAATCTCTTAAATGCAAATATTGGTGATATCAGGTTTGGGAATGATGGACCAGTTACTACTCACGATACAGAAATATAAATTATGTTGTATCATGAACTAACCAAAACTGTGAATGAGAGCGTGCAAAATGTCACTTGGCTGAATTATAGTCGTTTGATTTTCGGAAAGAATTACGAGGTGTAAGCATTTTTGGTGGTTGTTTTCGTGATAGAACAGAAAATGAACTTATTTACAAGTCACATGTTAATTGAATTTCGTTTGTAGTACTTGGACGTTGGTTGTGAAATCGTAATCCAATTTTTAATGTTTTGTTGTTATTTGTCTTTGGAAAAGATTCCAAACATGACTGTGTGTAGTTACGTGGTGTACTGTTATCACCTGACATTGAATATCCTATAGTCTGAATAAATGTAAAAATATATGCTTATTTATTAGTTTATGCTCACTTGAAAATAAAATGTCCCTTGTTTAAAAACTGTTTCTACACTAGTTATTTAGATGAATTCATCTAGTCAATCTATCATTCAGGGGTTTCCCATTTTTTCTTCATGACTTCTTATGCAGCTTTAAATGTGTAGAACTTTCAAGCCTAAAACACGTTGTGTTAACAAATGTTCACATACTTTTTAGAGTGTAAAATCTTTATGGCTTATCAATATTTCCAAAACTAATAGTTGTCAGTCGAACTTTGCTTTATCGTATATTTCTATACTTTAAATATTGTTTTATTTTTTAAACGGAATTCTGGGGCGTAATTTACTCTTGTGTATTTTCAAAAAGATCTAAAATGTTTCCCAACTAGTTGGATACTTTTTGTTCCATACGTCCACACTTACCATCTGTTGTCTTCAGCAAGTCATCATTAAATTGAATTGAAACTTTTTCTAAAGTCTTTCCAAGGCTTAAAGTAAAGTTAGTTATAAATTTAATTCTTTCTTTATCATGTCTTCCGAACAGATTTTTCTAATCCTTGAACTTAATGTACGTACCAGGTTTCGCTTTCGGTTCAGTGGGACGAAGCTATGGAAGTTGATAAACTGTCCCGTCTATGTTGGCTTGCGATATATCGATCTTTGGATAGTACAGTCTTGTCTTTTGGTAAGTAGTACATCGAGAAATAGAAATGCCATGTTCGATTCACGTTCTAAGGTGAATTTTATTGATGGGTGTGCTGCGTTGAAGGTTTTGAGGAGATACTCTAAATCAAATTTTTCAACACAAATTATGAACGTATCATCTACGTATCTCCTGTATAAGTGCATTTGACTTATCAAAGGATCGTGAATGTTGTTTTCGAGACTCGCCATGAAGCAGTCGGTTAGGAGTGGACCGAGAGGAGACCCCATAGCTACACCATCTTCCTGTACATAGGATTGTTCATTGAATTTGAACTGGATATTAAACGCACATATGAGAAGTAGTTCCTTCGTGTAGTTTATGAGAAGAGGAACTTCTGGGTTGTTTGTTTTGATGTAGTCACAAATGAAGCATATTGTTTTGGTCAGCAGGATGCTTGTGAATAGAGAAGTGACATCTAGTGAGATCATTTGTCTTTCAAACACGTTGATATCTTTCACTGAGTCGATGAAATCAAATGTATCACTAAGGCTATATTTTGTCATATGTCTTCTTACTGGTTCAAGGATATCAGTTAGCCACTTCGCGATCTGATGATATGGTAAGTTAACCATGTCTACGATAGGTCGAAGTGGAACATTCTCCTTATGCACTTTAGACAGTCCATACAGTCTTGAAGTAGTTAAATTGCATGGTTTTATTTGCTCAAATACCTCCAATGTTATGACTTAATCTTCTTACATTCTCTTCAGCAATTTTGTAAGGAGGTTTTCTGTTCTTTTTTCTGTTGTATCTCTCTGGTTGGGTGGTTTGAAGAATTTGGTGTTGTCTGATAGTATATTTGCCAATTTCTCATTATAGTCGGATCTATTCATTGCCACAATCCCATTGCCCTTATCACGACGGACGAGGATTATGTCTTTATTTTCTTGAAGTTGTTTAAGTTGTCCTCTGTGTTCCTTGATCAGGAGATAACAGTGGCTCGGTCGTGTACGAATGCACTTGTATCAGCTGTCGAGAATTGAATCTTTGAATTGATCAAGATCTTTTTCAGAAGTAGGGTAACAAATCGAATGTCTTTGACATTAAATTCTCGAACTTCACTTTGGTTTGTAATTCGTTGATTTTACTTGATACATGGCAAAATTTCGGAACTCAAAACCCTCAACGCAGCACACCCATCAATAAAATTCACCTTAGAACGTGAATCGAACATGGCATTTCTATTTCTCGATGTACTACTTACCAAAAGACAAGACTGTACTATCCAAAGATCGATATATCGCAAGCCAACATAGACGGGACAGTTTATCAACTTCCATAGCTTCGTCCCACTGAACCGAAAGCGAAACCTGGTACGTACATTAAGTTCAAGGATTAGAAAAATCTGTTCGGAAGACACAATAGAGAAAGAATTGAATTTATTACGTGAAACCCCACTAGAGGACAGGTATCCATCAAGATTCATAGACAAAAACATGAAAGAGAAGCCTCCGTTGCTGAAATTAGTTGTGTTTTTGATGCCGTCTTTTATTTTGTTTTTATTAAGAATGTCTGTTTAGATTTCTTTGGATATTCTTTTCTTGTACCTAGAAATGTATTCACAGAATCAATATCACCACTTGTAATACATACTTTATTCAATAATCAAGCCATACAATTACAGGACATTTACTGAAGTGTGATAATAATAATAATGTGATGATAATAATAATAATGTGATGAAACTGTTATAACACCTTAGAGCTATCATATTTCAAAATTTCATAATATTTAGTCGTTCTTTTTAAGTGATTAAGTTACCTTACCTCCCACAACTAATGGGTTATGTAACTGTTACATTTAAGTGCTCTAAGCTTCCTAATGGGGAATACTGTTTCCAATTACTCCTGCATGTCTGTATTCTACTGTCCTTTCGATATTCTGTTCCAAATTCCTTGTCTCATGCTTTCAAAGAAGTACGTAACCTATTATTTTTAGTGCTACTTTTTGTTTTCAACCAACTGTCTTTCTACTTTTCTTAGTTTGTGTGTTAGTGATGCCTTTCCTAAGGGCTGATTCAACATGAGGCTTTCCTTTAAGGCTTTAGCTATACGCTAAACATAATTTAAGGTATACACAAAAAAGCGGTTAATATCAGTGTTTGTAAAAATATAACTATTCATACCTGTTTATTGGAGATTTTTAAAATTTCTTTACATTCAGAAACATTTGCGTCACAGCCAGTGTATTGGACTGAAATATGCTCTATAAACCGTATTAAACTTAGTGTCTTTCACATTTAAGGTATGCACAATACAGTCTTATTTCATTTCATTTAGCTGATGGGGTTATAGCCGATACACTAACAGAAGTGACTCGGGGTATATGCCAAACATTCAAATCCACTATTCTCTTGAACGTTACTTGCACTATGGTTAATTTTGTTAGGTCCTTACATATTTTGAAACCATATATTTCTGACAGTTTTCTTGAAGCTTGTGTGGAATTGTAGTCTAAAGGTTGCAATAAACTGATGGTAAGAAGTTATGAGTGGAGAATGAGAATTGTGAATGTCTTAGCAATGTTTCAAATTCTTCAGGATTCGTTCTGAATATCATTTTGTGTACTATACAATATGGCAACGTGAACTGATGTATTATTATGGGTTTTTCAGCACTGATACATATGTAGCCTTTGATAAAAACACCCCTCAATAGTTAATAAATACTCAGGCTTTAGACTAAACTTTTTTTTAATCATGCTCCTTATGTTGTTTACTAGTTCCATGTAGGATATCTTATTTTGGATGATATAATCGATAATTCTGCACTAAGACGTGGTCAACCCTGTTGGTATCGAACACAGTTGGACTCGGGTCGTGGACTAATTGGTGTCAACGATGGCTTACATTTAATTTTATCATCTAAATATGTGATCCATTCTATATTTGCACAAAATCAGAATGGTAATAGTCTACCTGTATGGAAGAGTAAAAGTGATGTATATCTTAATTTATGCAAACAGTTTGATGAAATTATTTACAATACCTGTTGTGGTCAGTGTCTGGATATATTATCATCCAATCCAAAAAATTTGTGTACGCATGACAGTGAAGAATTAGATCAATTTTTGCAGAATTATTCAACGCCTAATTTTGAAGCAATAACATATTGGAAGACTGGATTTTACACTTTTTATCTACCTGTTGCCTGTGGAATGATTTTGGTGAGTTAATAGATTTGTATTTTTTCTAATTTTACATGCCTCCTTAACTCATGATTTATATATATATATATATATATATATATATATATATATATATATATATATATATAATCACTTTATGGGTGTGGGAACTAATTTCAGGCACTTCATTGGTTGATAGGTTTTGAGTGTTGCTTAACTTAAAACTAGTTGACCTCTGTATGCATTTTTTTCTGTAACTGATATCAGACTCTTTGATCTAAACTTAGTCGAATTCATACACAAATCGCATCAACTTCATAATGTCATGAATGTGTGAAACTACAGTATTAGGCAACAATAAGCGTACTCCTTTTCATATGCATTCGCGTATTTTTGTTCTCTGAATACTTGACATCGCATTACTCTGCTTATTTACTTCCTATTCTTATGTGCTTGTTTTCCACCTGTTCGCCTCACTCTCCTTGCTATTGAATAGGGAAACAAGGCTACACAATCTGATTTTATGCGAAATCATACAGATACACACGACTCTAAAGCCTTTTCAGTCGAACCCACTTTTTGCTTATATTTATTGTGATTACTAGAGAACTGTTTGTAATACTTATTGCATAATGAGTAATTATGTGATTGATAAAACTGAACTGATACTAATTGGTCTGATTGGTAGTGTGGCTAAGTGACCACTGCTCACTGAAAAATATTATTTCAACATAATCCCACTGTACTGATGGCAGAATATAGAATAACTTTTCATCAGTGTATGTCACACATCCTTTTTGATAGTTAGTAATTCATGTAAAAGTACCACCTAGAGAGAATATTTATTATTTATTTATTTTGTTGTCCACTCCTGGCGTTCACAATGGAACGTAGGGTTTCATCAGTAAACCCTCTTTGCACCGTACTCTGCCATCACTTTCAACTGTCTCCACGATCTCCCAAAAGCTTTCATTTCCTCTTCATATTACTTCCTCTATGTCACATTCAGACGCCCGACTCATCGCTTTTCTCTCAGGTTCCACTTGAGGGCCTGGCGTTTGATGTCACTCACCGGTATTCGAAGTGTCATGTCCTGTCTATCTCCATTTCCTACTGCACATTTGTTGAGCAGTAGCTACTCAACTGACTCTCTGCCCGTCGGAGTTCCGTGTTGCTTATCCTTTCCGGTTGGTCATCTGTTCTTAAGGGCTGAGTGACGGTAGATATTGATGAAAGTCTGCAGCAGACTGTCAAAAATGCTTTCCCTTATGTGCGCGTCAAGTCTCTGTCCCTTACAGAAGCACTGATTGACTTATCATTAGTATCGAAGATACGGATCTTGTTCTTTATGCTGAGTGCCGTAGATCTTCACATTGATTTCAGAGTAGTCGTCGTCTGTCTCATTTTCCTGATCCGATCTTGGCTGATTTTGACATATTTATTGAGCCATCTGTGAAGGGGATAATTTCCTTCAGATTTCTTCCATTGGTGGCGGTTGGTATTTGTTGTTTTTATTGCTCAGATATTTTTATCACCTGTATTTCATACATTTGCCTGAAATCCCATCTTCTCTGTTTCTTATAACAACTTGTTGGTTTTGACCCGTATGTCTTCGAGTTTGTGTGATGCTAGATATAAATCATCTGCGATGATTTCCTACAAATGCAACCTGTTCAGGGTCGAGTATTCCACACAAAGCACGTTTTAATCTCTCCAGGATAATGTGGCCTATTATTTTACTTGGAGTGGGCGGGGAGTATGATTCCACGCCAGTACTTGTATCGGCCCAAGTGACCCTTCTCTGACAGACTGACAAATTAGCCATTTTTCAATCAATGCATACACTGGATGATACAATCACAATCAATATAACGGATTATCTTAAATTCTGCCTCGACATCTGTTGCCTGAAACAAGTACTATTCAAAAGACTTGACCGTTTCTCTTCTCATCTTAAAAAGTTACGTAGAGAAATAGAAAGGCTGTATAATTATAAAGATAAGTCTGGTCTAAAAAGGATTGACATCTTAAACAAATTTGAAATCCAAAGTTTGAATACTCTTCATAACGAAAGACTTTTATCATATAAAACCCCCCCCTCAAACATGTGGAAACTTTTTAAACAAACAAAGTATTATTGTTCCCTCTGTTGGTGTAAATACTCATAACAAATCTTTCATACTCTCTCCTACTGACGTTTTCATTCTTAATGATACAAATAATAAAGTTGGTGACTTTAGTGGTTTTCAGTGATTTGATAATGCCCACTGTAACATTCAGAACATAATTTTAAGCGAAGAGACTTTTTTCAACGAATTTATTATTAAGATGTACAATGGTATGTTTGTCACTACAGAAGACAAGGGCCAGGCAACAGATTGTTTATTAAAGAAAATCAACACATATTTATAGATTTTAATGTACATTATTGTAGATTATTGTTATTAGAAAATACAGTCTTTTGATTGGTTGTTTCTCACAGAAAGTTAACCTTGCATCTGTTTGTGGCTGTGTCAGATCATCCATATGCTAACTGTATCCGCCTACGCAAAGCCTTTGTTCTCATTTTCTCATCACCAATATTGGGGACATAAACATTGATGTCAATTACTGTTTACTAACTTTGGCTAGCAGCCAGCTCTCACCACATGTATATGGTAACAACTGCCATCCTTCTTTGCAATTCACCATAGGAAATGGATATGAACTAAACATTCCTTTTCTTGATGTGTGCCTCAGTAGACGTAATGGCGGATCTTTGAGAAGATCCATCCACCGGGAACGTACATGTAATGGACAACTAACTAATTTTTATAGTTGGTTGTGTATCTACAGGCAAAGAAACTTAACTTAGCCGCTCTGCTTTAGGATAAGAAACATTTGTAGTTCTGATTGCGTTGACTCAGAATTTTCCTTCTTAAAAGCAATGCTCGCAGAAATGGTTACCCTAGCCGATTTATTGACAAAACCGCGTCGGTGGCACAGTGGTTAGGACTCTCGCCGACTATGCACATGGTCCAGGGTTCGACCCCCTGCCGGTGCACACCCGATATCTATGGTCGGCCTGCAAAATTTGGGCTACCGATATCCATGCTGAAAATTCCATACCTGTACCTAAAAATACGGTGTGGCATCAAGCTGTAATCAAAATAACAATAAAAAAAGTTAAGCAGTCCCAACTGGTCACTGACTCAACTCCAAAAAATTCATCTTCATGAATTTGGAATTCAAAGGTGATAAGGCGTCAGATATACTCAAAAAATCGTCTCTCTAAATTAGTCAGTAAGACGTTCTTTGCTGCGAAACTACAAATGACTTTCACCAGCGTAAGTTGTTCTCCGTCTCTGTAAAAGGTGAGCTCCCTCGTCTGACCGCTTCCATATGCGTCTATCAGTTCACTTGCTCTTATGGAGCAAGGTACATCGGCCGCAGCCAGAGAACACTTTCTACACGGATACGAGAACGTATTCCAGCATGGTTTTATAAAGGGAGAAAGGAAGAGTATGCGAAGCTGTATTGTAGAACACTTGATTGACTTCTATCACTCTACCAACCCTGACCATGATTTTAAGGTCATTTGTGGAATTCATGCTGACTTGCCGCGTTTTCTTCGTTCTAAGCTTCTAAAGACAGTGGATGCCTTGGTCATTCATGAATTTAAGCCAGACCTTTGTATACAAAAGAAGTATTTTCAATCCCTAATTCCGCCTTGGCCGTATAGGGATAAACATTTATTTATTTGTATTTTGTTTATTTATTTAATCTATGTACCTTCCCCTCATTACTACGATTACTATTGTTACTATTGCTATCCTCACTTTGAACTGTTTCCGGTATTATTCTACGGGGTACTGAATATGATCCCTGCTTTAATACCATAGCATATCATTTACCTCGCTAAGTCAGTATTAAGACTGGTAAAGGGGGAAAGTTGGGCATGAGGCTAGTGACCCCATACCGTAAAAATAAATACCACTGCTACCACAACTTCAAGCATCTAGCTTGAAGCCCCGTGTTCCACTGGAAACGCAAAGAAATAAAAATATCCACGTTTTCATTCTCTACGATGTGTTCAACACTGTACACGGCCAAATACGAGCAACGTTGTATTGAGAAGCACAAGTGAAAACTTGAAAAGGTGAACGTAAAAGTGCGAAATCGCAACAAACAGAAACCCATGTTCAATCCTACAGTGGCAAGTATTCGACAACCATACGTAAAATTAGTTTCTGTGATCGTATAATATGGGTACACGATTTCGCTTTTTAGGCATACAGTTAGAGTTAACAAAGGGGCGCTACAGTTTCACTTGTCCCATGTGTCATCCCAAATCCAAAATGTTTTTCACATTCTTGAATTCTATCTTGTCAAATTTCACACTACGTCGTGTGAAGTTTTATATTTGCCTAGTAATCCTATAACTATACACTGCCTTCCAATATCTGTGCATCTTATGAACTATTCTATACATGAAATAACTTGTTTTGACACTCGATATTTAACTATGATTATAGTTAGAAACATTCTAATTACATGTCATACTATTATTTTATGTGTTCACACCTTTCATCGTCTTAGCACTCTTGATGTTCACAAATGTCTCAAGTCTCTAAAACTTTCTCAAAACCTGGTTCCTGATTTCGTACCTGCTGTTGTCCTCAGAAGATATGCTGATATTTTATGTTATCCCCTTACAAATATTTTCAATGCTTCTTTTCCAGTAATGTTGTATCCGTAGCATAGAAAGACATTCAAATGATCGGTACCCAAATAATGTTCCGGTATTAATGCTAAATTTAGACATTGCAATTACCTCTCCTTTTTGAAATTAGTGGGGAAATTACTTTTACTCAACCTCGTGAAATTTTAGTGACCTCAAACAGTTTGCTTATAAACAGGGCAGAAGTACTTTAGATTCAGCTGCTGTCCTACATCATAATATTGTTTCCTCAGATAAACGAGCCAAATATGTCCGATGTACCTTCCTTGACTACACATCCGCTTTTGATTCTGCGCACAGATACCTTTTGTTAAATGAGCTTTACCTGACACAAATCGAGTCCTGGACTGTTAACTGGTTGCATTCTTATTTCTCGAACAGAATGCCGTATACTGTTTATAAAAGCAAACCTTCCTTTGTCTTGCTTACTGAAGCCGGAATCTCGTAAGGTTGCGTTCTCTCTTCTCTTCTTTTCTCTTTCTTCTTCGGAAGAAATCAACGTTAAATATGCTGATGATCTGACTATCTCGCTCCCAGTTGCGTCCCAATCCGACTGTTCCAAACTTAATAACCTTTTGTTGGATACCAGCCAGTAGTCTGAAATAAATGGTCTTACCTTATATCACTATCAATGTCAGCCAGTTGATTTCATCTTCAAGCATAAACGTGATCTACACGAACTTCTTCGTCCACAAGATGCGTGTAACATAGAGGGCAATAAAATAGATACTAAGTCAATCAATAAACAGCTTGGATTGGTTTTGTCCTCTGACCTTATCGATCCTCCCATATGTTTTCGATTTCTAAAGAAATGTTCTGTCTAACCTTCTGCAATAAGTTAAGACAATCTGGAATTGCTCAACCTTTATTTTTACAATTTGTTAACTCTTTTGTCTTACCTACTGTAATTGTATTGCTCCCTCTTATTCTTTCCTGGGCTATTCAAAAAGGATCATTTCATATTGCGAATAGTAGGGCGCCACTTGGTCAGCTTGTTACTACTATAGTCGACAGACACCTGAACTCATGTGGAAGATGGTGGAAATCCATATCGTCTGACTCTCAATATCTTTATTCTCAACTTTCCCCTTGCATCTCATCAAGTAGGTAACTAGAAGTGGTTATAAAAGATTATATGTACGCACAACTAAGTACAAAACTCAACGATACCCTATTTGACCCGCATTCTATGTGATAGAGTTTGTGTTAAGCATGAAACCTTCGACTTACTATGTTATTAGCAAAATAATTGTCTCTTTTATCCTCTTTATTTGTAATCTATGGTGTCACAATTTCAATTAACTTACAATTTTATCTATTAACATTATTTTACACTTTTGGCACATTTTTGACTTTATTATCACTGTAACTACTGAAAAATTGCTGTTATCAATCCTAGTTACCCTATAATATTGTTTTTGGTGTTGTCGGGTAAATTAGATGCAGTAATGTCCCAACTGCTCAGAATTCCACAGTGTATCATAAGTGCTGTTTTGGAATAAAACAAATTACTATTATTTCACGCGTTACCCGGGTTATATTCGTGAAACAAAATGACTTGGTGAAATATCTGTTTACAGTTGAACTGAAGTTACTTGTGTAGAGAATTCGTTCTTTTCATCTGAAGCACGAGACACTGAACTGAAATTCTTCAAAATTTGAGACTGGCATACTTCTTGGTTTTATATAAATTATTTCTCCACTTGAATTGAGACTCAGATCCTGATGTCGCGTCGTTATATTGTAACTAAACTGCACATTCATTTGTTACTGGTGAGCAAGCAATGTCGTTTACCTAGTCCTTAGTAGTGTTGGTGCTAATCGGATTCTGTTAGTCAAGTTAGCAATGTCGTCACTAAGCTAGGTGACTCAACACCCCACTGTGCTTTGATTTGATATCAGGAGGTTGAAGGTAATCGGCAGAAAACGCGTGTATCTAGGTTTCCTGCTGTTTGCCTTTGACCCTCCTAACTTCAAACTACACTACGCAATTCATTCGTTATTCGATGAGCTGTTCTGTAATTCTTTCTTGTATTCATCCTTTGTAGTGAATAATTAATTAACGGTTTGTAATGGGACTTAAGATTCAATATAAGTCATTTTGAGATATATGACGACAATTTATAAGGAATAAGACAGGCAAACGAGACACAGATGACTTTGGTATTAAACTGAATTTTGTCTAATCACTTATTAAATTTCATGTGAAAATTTTATTGACCTGTCTTTCCCTATGAGGCACAGAATAGGGGTGCACTCAACTTCAAACGGATTCTGTTTAATCTCAGTTACCTTCAAGGACCTTTCACTATGTCTGGACTCTTATTTAATTTGAGTTGTGTAATCATAAACGCAAAACGAAACGGTTGAGATTAATTTTGATGAAGATCTACTGGAAGTAAAAACGTTAGTTGCAAATGATGTTGTTATAACAGTGGATACTATTTGCCTAAACTTTTTCTTATAAATACGGTGAATATCTCTTCTGGTGAACCATTGTGTTATAAGTAAGTCTGTACCACTCGGTATGGATAAAGCTCACGGTTACGTGTGACTGCAGCCATTCTTGTGATATATCAAACCTTACCTATAACCTTTATCGTTTCTTTCACATAAAAATATGTACAGAAGAATAGGAATCCATTTCAGTTGAATAAAGCTAATAACATGAAAAATAGACTTCTGTTTCGTTCTGAATTGTCTGAAATTATAAACTTACAGCACTTCTACTATAAAAGGAGTTTTCAACTGTCTTATTGTTTCCTGAATCCTTTTTTTTCAACAGGCAGAAGTTGAATCACATGATGTTTTCACCGAAGTTCAGCATATGCTTCTGCAAATGGGTAAATACTTTCAAGCACAGGTATTATCCTTTTAATTTCTAATGCAAACTTTTTCCTATAGGATGATTATTTAGATTGCTTCGGTGACAGTGAAATTACAGGAAAAGTAGGCACTGATATAGCAGAAGGCAAATGTTCTTGGCTGATTGTGGAGGCTTTGAAACATCTTTCAACTGATCAGCTTAAAATACTTCAGGTGTGAGAAGAGATTTTGATCAATTTCATATTATGATTTCTGTGAAATAACATTAACAATGCCTTCAATCATTATACTTTTTGTGTAAGAATTTTAATCCTGGTAAATTCGCGTTAGCTCCTAGTATCACGTTTTGATCTGTATTCGTATGTATATCGAAAGATTTTTTTATGTTATTATTATTATTATTATTCCCTTGGGTTCCTAGTGGAACATAGGGCTTCAACTACACGCCTCCACTTGCTTCTGTCTTGTGCTGTACTTTTCACTTGCATCCATGTTAATCCATACTGTTTCAGTTCCTCTTCACACGATCTCCTCCATGTCACCCTTGGACATCCCACTCGCCACTTCCCTTTCGGGTTCCACTCGAGCACTGGCCTGACTCGCGATGTCACCCAGCGGCCTCCTTAGCGAGTGTCCAATCCATCTCCACTTTCTCCTGCATATTTGTTGGGTGATTGGTTCTTGTTTTGTTTATTTCCATAGTTTCTTGTTGGTGATTCTTTCCGGCCATCTGATCTTCAGTATAGAACGGAGACAGCTGTTGATAAAGCTCTGCAACAGGCTGTTGGAAATATTCTTTGTGACCCGCCAAGTTTCTGATCCGTATAGAAGAAGTGACTGACTTGACGTTTGTATTGAAAATCCGAGTTTTGTTGTTGATGCTGAGTGACGAAGATTTCCAGAATGGTTTCAGGTTGATGAATGTGTTTTGTCGCCTTCCCGATTCTCGATTTGACATCTCGTCCGTTCCTCCTGTAGTTGAGACAATGCCCCCTAGATAAGTGAATGAAGTAACCTCTTTCAAATCCCTCCCGTTGATGGTGATTGGCGCTTGATGTTGCTGCTGTTGTTGTTGTTGGTTGGTTATTTTCATAACCTCCGTCTTGTCTATGTTCACCTGGAGTCCTGTCTTTGCTCCTTCTTCGACCAGTTTGTCGATTTTCGCTTGTAAGTCTTCGATTTTGTGTGACATCAAACATAAATCATCCCCGAAATCCAGGTCTTCTGGATTCTTCACGTCGGTCCAGGATATCCCTGTCTTCCCGTTTCTCACTGTCTGACGCATAATCCAGTCCACCACAATTAGGAATATCATTGGTGATAATGAGCACCCTTGTCTGACTCCTGTGTTTACTCCAAACGCCTCGCTGAGTTTTCCGTTGTGGATCACTTGACATGTGCCGTTGTCGTACAGCTGTTGAATAAGGTTGATGAATATTTGGGGTACGCCGTAGTACTCTAGTAGTTCCCAAATTACTTCGTGGTCAACGCTGTCGAAGGCCTTCTCAAAGTCTATAAAGTTGAGGTAGAGATTTGACTGCCATTCCATGCTTTGTTCGATGATGATGCGTAGAGTTGCAATTTGGTCAGAACATGATTTGCCTTTCCTGAATCCAGCTTGTTCTGGTCGGAGTTCTGTATCCAGTGCGTCCTTTATTCTCTCCAAGATGATGCGACTCAGGATTTTACTTGGCTTCGACAGGAGCATGATTCCTCGCCAGTTCTTGCAGAGTCCTAGGTCGCCCTTCTTTGGTTAGCCTTTCCTCCAATCAGTAGGCACCTTTCCCTCCTTCCAGATCTTTTGCAATAATGGAGTCAGCATATCTGCTGTCTTTTCTGGGTCCGCTTTCAGTGCTTCCGGGGGTATTCCATCTGGTCCAGCTGCTTTTCCAGCTTTCAGAAGCTTGATTGCATTCATGACTTCAGCTTTCGTTGGAGGATTGGTGTCAACTTGCAGTTGTGTACGTGCTGTTGTTGGTATTTCTGGACGGGTTGTAGGTGGTGGTCGGTTCAAGAGTCCTTTGAAGTGGTCCACCCATTGTTTAATCTGTCTTTCTTCTTTGGTAATTGGGTTCCCTTGGCTGTCTTTTATAGGTTTCACGTGTGTTGATCTCTTCCCGGATAGAGACTTGGTTATCTGATATAGTGTCCTCAGGTCCCTTTTGCCTGCTACCTTCTCAGCTTCAGTAGCCAGGTTGTCGTAGAATTGTCTTTTGTCCTTCCTGGCACTCTTCTTCACTTCTTTGTCCAGTGCTGTGTAAGTTGAGTTCAGCGTCTCTTTCTCTTGTCCATCTTTGCATTGAATCATTTTCTCTTTCACCATTCTCCTCTCCTCTATTAACTTCCAAGTGTCCGTTGAGAGCCATTCCTTGTCTTGTTTCTTCTTTCTTCCAAAAACCCTTGAACACGTTTCGTTGAAAATTACCTTCAGAGAGTTCCAATGGTCTTCCACGGACGATTCCTCAGTGGTGCCACGTAGTGTTTCCTGCTTTGCTCTGACAGTTGCAGTGAAAATGTCCTGTGTGATTGTGTCCTTCAGTTTTTGCGTGTTGAACTTGCATTGTGGCCTATCCCCAGGTATCCTCGAGGCTTTCAGCTTCACCTTGAAAGTCCCTTGTACTAGATAGTGGTCTGAACCCACATCTGCTCCTCTCCTCGATCTTGTGTCCAGTAGGCTCCGTCTCCACTTCCTTGAGATTGAAATGAAGTCTATCTGGTTTTTGGTGTGTCCATCTGGTGAAATCCATGTTGCCTTGTGTATATCCCTGTGTTTGAACACACTGCCACCAATCACCAAATCATTGAAGGCGCAGAAGTCTGAGAAGAGTTCACCATTTTCGTTCATTTCACCGAGGGCCTCACGACTCATGGTGAGTTCTCTTCCTGTATTGTCTCCTCCCAGTTTCGCATTCATGTCACCCATCAGGATTTTGATATCGCTCTTTGGGACGTTGTCCACTACTGTTTGTAGTTGACTGTAGAAATCCTCCTTCTTCTCCTTTTCTGAGACGTTTGTAGACACGTAGCATTGAATGATTGTAACCTTTTTTCCTTTTGAGTTGAACCTGGCCGTCATTATCCTGGAGGAGATTGGTTCCCACTGCATGAGAGCTTTAGCCGCTGTTGGTGACATCATGATGGCTACTCCCTCGGTGTGCTCGTGATCGTAACGTAATTGCCTAATTATTATTTATATGAATTGACTACTTACTGTACATCTACTTAATTTTAACTGTAGGCGAATTATGGCAAGTCTGATGCTAAATCACAAGAAGTAGTTTTGAATTTGTACAATGCAGTCAAATTGCCAGAAAAGTTCCGTCTGTACGAAGAAGAAGTCAAAGCGGAAATCATGACAAATATTCAAAAATTTGTATATAAAAATAACTCTTCTTATGATCCTCGTGAACTGTTTACTTTTATTGTAGACTTACTCTTTCAGCGTTCTTCTTAAATAATTGTGTGTACTTTCTAGTTAGAGTTATTTCATATAAAGAATTTTGCTTAGATTTCCTAAGTGTCAGTGAGAATGATGAAACTGCATTCAAGGGTATCATGCTGCGTAGTGCTTAACGCCTGACATAAAATATTTCGACTTCTAAAAGAAGTCACGTAATGTCAGTTAATGAGTCTGAATCCAACAATCTATGATTTCCAAATTTTGTCGACTTGCAAGATACCGTCATCGCTATTCAATGATATTAATGAGTGACATCTCATCCGACTTCTTGGACTCCACTTGTCATGACTTTTCATCAAATGTTTGAGAAATCTGTTTTGTAACTAGTGTAATGAGCAGTAGATTAATATTTTTGTTTTAGTGTTATGTGAAGAAATGATTGAGACGTTATGACTACAGGAGACCACAAGATTGATGTGTGAAGTCAAATACCCACCCAGTGACAATAGTTGGTTTATCTAAAGGTTACTGTGTAATTGGGGCATGTGCACTGAGAACTCTCCACAGATTTCACAGTCACTTCAAATCTTTAACTAGACTACTTTTTATTTTTTGTATTCATCGTGTTAAATTAACAGTCTTCAGTAGTGTCATAAAACAGAACACGGGATGGCAATGTTTCCCCGTACAGATAGATTTTCATTCAGAGTTATAAGTTATTTATTCTGAAACGTGGGATTCTTATACCATTTACCTTTGTGTTCATTTAATGTTGCGAAAAACAATCCCTTAACCCAAGATTAATTCAAATATTAGGTTGAATGTACCGGCTAACTGAGGGGCCAATTTTCCATTTAGCGCAACCTTAATGCTCTATCCAAAGAAACCTTTAGAGGCTGTGGGTGTTGACGTTCACGGATAGTACGATGTATACTAACGCAAGATCTGAAACCCACAACCTCTATAGTATTCGTTCTGCGCAGACCGAAGGTAAAGCAAAACACATTGATGATTGGTCGTCCAAATTACGAGATATATTTCGGAACCAAAATCGGAGTGCGGGATGGTTGCTTAGCTAGCTAGGGATCGTGCAGGAACGTGACACAACAGAGTACCAAATGGCTAAACAAGTTGACTTAAACAGTGACTGTAAGCCTTCAATGATAAATGCTGTGGCCAATAATTCTGGGGAATTACCTACAGCTACATGTGTTACCTAAAGGTGCAGTTACTCGCAATTGAGTCTACGTTCAACTTCCACACTGTAAATAATATAATCCAGAGGCAAGGTTTAATGTGTTGCTTCGATGTTATATTTTCTCCACTACGGATGTTGCCAATGGGTTGCCGAGTACTCTTGTAAATTCCAACGTAAGCACCCAAGAGTTAGTGTTGGACAACGAGCAGTTGTGGGGACTAAGAAGACGAAGCAAAGACAAGTGTGTGTGTTTCAACCTGGCCGAAAGTCATAATTTGAAACAAGACATCAACCGAAACAAAAGATGCGCAAATTGTGTCATTTTCCATTCAAAAAATTGTCACCTCTCTTAGAAGACCGAAGAGACTAAATAGATTGAAATGAATAGATAATATTGTAGATTATTACTGCGCTTTCAGACTCCATGAGACGTGTTTGTAAAACAAAATGAAATTTCTGTGTTCGTCGTTCGTAATAAAGGCGCTGTTAATAATAATAATGAAAAGGTGTGGAATTAAGTTTTCCTACAGATTTTAGCTCCCACTGTCAATACTGGCGGCACAGAGTCTAGGTTTTGACATAGAATTTACCTGTTTCTCAATTATGATATTCCAGATTCCACACATTCAGTGTTTGCTACCCGTATACGGTTAAGTTAAGGTGGCAATACAAAAACAACTGTCATATATGTATATGTCGCCCTGCTGAAAACTTGGGCTACCGAGTACCCACATCAATATACTGCATATAATTTCTCTTGTTCACTTCACTTAAAATTTAGTAAAACATCACCTCTTATTGAATTATTTACTCTGGTGAGTACTTAAGATATTTACGACGTTCCGATCCGCAAGCTTCTACTGGACTTGCGAAGAAGCATAATCCTCGGCGGAGACGCATTCCAATAGGTGAAGAAACTATTGGTGAGTTGTGTCATGGGTTCTCGAGAAGTATTCTTGAAGTTTTTATAATTGACATTCAGTCAATTGTCGTAGGATTCAAAGAAGAAATATCTTGATCGGTTGGTTCTCTCTTCAGGCCAGACAGCATTGTGTCGCATGAACTGCTGTCAATTAGTATTTTGTTGGAGAATTGATATAATTACCCAGAAGCAAACAATAAAAGTTGTAAATTACCTGGTACTCAACGGTACAATGGTAGAAATTTGATAAGGTCAAAATTGCTATTGAGTGAGATTAAAGTTAGTTCAGTGTCAATTTAAAAAGTCTGAAGAGGGTGTGAAAATGGAACAAATGACAGTGATAATAGTGAACTAATTATTAAAGTAAAATTTGGAAACAAATTAAAATTTTTTACAGGGAACGACTAGTGAGGAGGTTGAGACCAAGGTAGAATAAGAGACTGGACAAAAGTTTTCTGTATGCAAAGTTCTGGGTTGTACTGACGGAATGCCAGCGCCTTCGCCATACACAAAAGCAGAAACCTGACACCATCTGTACTATTTGGCCGCACTTTGTAGATGATCTTGAAGGACAAATCTAGTGGAGCTACGTGACTTGAGGTCACTAAGTGCTCGAGAATTCAGCTAGTGGTTGTCCTTTTGCTAACCATGCCAAGTAATGTGCAGAGATGCGTTCGGAAAGCGTGCGCTTTGTGCGGCCAATATAACTGGCGCCACACGAGCAGGTGAATCTATAAACACACACTGAAGTGGCTCAAAGCAGCAGATTGTCCTTCACACATCCACTGATCATTTGTCAGCTGTAGAAATTGATCTGTAGCTCAGCGGCCAAGAAGGCTTACCTCAGTGATCTGCATAAGCGATTCTTCAGACATTTTGATGTCCGGAATCTTAGCTGCTCTATTAGAAAGCTACTGCACTACAGTCAGGACTGCGGTATACAGCATTGAGGTCAATATCTTGGCCTATGCATTTAAGTCTGCAGCATAGAAGTTCACACGATACATTTTCGTGAGCAAGTGCTTCGATGCTACGCACGGTGAAGCATTTCTTGAAGTAGGTGACTATGCCACCCCGTTTGCGGCTTAGTCGGTTGCACCTTATACACTTTGGAGTTCGTCAAGTTAACTTCTTTATCACTGAGTCGGGTGTGAGCCATATCTCTGTGATGATAGTTGCATCCTGATTTCCGGAGACTATCATATTACACAGCTCAGTTCGTCTGTTCAACAGGCTGTGGACGTTTGTGTAGCAAACTGTCAGCTCAGTTTGATGCTTCCGCGGCCTACCCACAGAGGTTTCGGGATCATCAAACTTCGAACTTTGTCAATGCGAAAACACTTAATCTTAAAGTTTTTCGCCTATTCGGTGTCGTTCGCTTAATTCTAGGGCCACAGACTGTCTTTTGACATGGTCTGCTGGGCATAAGTCAGCACGGACATATATGCCTGATCCTTTAAGAATTTGAGAGTTGCTTTGAATGGCATCCCTCTTCTTTGGAGTTTAGAACGACTTTGAGGAGGCGTATAGGCTGATTTAATGTTGAGTCAGGCTTTGGGCCGATTCTATAAAAGCTGGATATAGTTATATCTAATGCCGTTGTTGACAGTAGCTGATCTAAGAGAAACTTAACCAAATTGGGGTCATGCTCAAACCTGACCTTGCGATCGGAGGCCGGTTATTCTTCCACTTTGTGGAGAATGGGCGACCTGTCAGAGAGATCTGGTTGGCTCTGCGGCGTGAATGTCTTTCGCGGACAGTGTGGCCAATATGTTGTCCTTATCTCGCTTTATGCGAGAGACTACATTATGACATTCATTGGCGTCCTCCTCGCTAATCGTAGTCGACTTTATCTGCCTGCTGTCCACCGGTGTGGGCGAGGTTTGACCTACAAGTTCGTGGGTGACTTGAGTTGTGGGTTTCCGAAGCTTGGTACGCTAGTTCTTCGTGCGAGTAATTCCACAACTGTCAATGGACGACTTTTCCGGTATCGTAAGGGCATGTAGCGGTAATTAATTCCCCAAAATTATTGTCTACAGCATTTATCATTGAACATTGGAGGCTTACAGTCACTGTTTAAGTCAACTTTTTTAGCTGAAGGCTTCCGGTCAAGCCATCCACGCCATTTGGTACTGCGTTGTGTCACATTCATGCACGATCCCTAGCTTAACATATTTATTTTCGAATATTTTTACAATATTCAAGTTGAGTGCACACACAAAAAAAATAAAATACAATAATACCCAAAATCAATAGAAAAATAATTACGAAATAATGATTCCTGAATTACATAAGTAACCTTCGTACAGATAAATAAATATATGAATGTAAATTAGTCAATTAAGCTAGTATAAATAATAGACACAAGTGTAGAAAAATTATCACAGCAGCCCGTGTTGAACTCAATAATGTGTACTTTTTCTGCAGCACTATCGGTTAGATGTGTTTGTACATATATGTGTAGATGTGATTGATTGTTTATGCCATATGTTGATGTGAGGCATTCGTGAGTGGTACAAAAGTACGATTTTTAATAACTTATGTTTATAGAATCATCAAATGTAATACAAGTCTCAATTAATTTTGAGCATGTGAATGTTGCTTATATGTATGAATCATGGGGTAGCATCGACAGTTGAATGTAGCAATAGTATTTAATATCGGGAGAGTTTTATAACGGCAATATGCTCTATGCGTGTATGTACTATGGAACAATTAGAATATATAGTTGTGTCGTGGGTTCTCGAAATGTATTCTTGAAGTTTTTATAATCGACATTCAGTCAGTTGTCGTACGATTCTCGTAGGATTCAAAGAAGACATATGATCGGTTGGTTCTCGCTTCAGGCCGACAGCATTGTGTTACATGATCTGCTATCAATTAGTTTTTTATTGCGAAATCTTGGACCATAGGCGGCCTGCTTAAAACTTTGGTTACCGAGAACCTCCATCAATATGTTGCATTTAGTTTTCTCAAACATTTTGTTTAAATTTGGTAAAATACGACTTCTGATGGTGTTGTTTACTCTAGTGAGTACTTAAAGCAGCTACAACCAGCGGTTCGTACTAAACATGAGAAAAAGCATTTTACTCCATGGCAGCTCATCCCAGTACATGAGATGACCGTCCTTGAGTAGTGTACTTGGTTAACAAAGTGTGCCCCTCAACGTTTTATAACTTGTGCTCGACATAATTATCCTGTGTATTTCTTGAAGGATAAAAAGATAGAACTGTGTCACACTATCTACTGTCACTTAATATCTTATTGGCCAAATTAAACTTTAAGCACAACTAACTACCAATGGAGTGCGGCCGCACCACTGACCTTAAATGGTCCAATGAGTTTTATTCACGTGAATTGAAGCGTCTATTCAGCTTGATTCTAGTAAAATGCCTGCTCTGACTAAGTTGCGTTTGCAATTTGGTGAGGATCAAGTCTTCCAATATTGCTTAGATGTGGAGTTGATTAGGAAAGGAAGGATTTGCTCATGTGGAGGTGTGACGACTATAAAAAGCTTCAGCATGTCTGTTGATGGTCATGTGTATCGTTGTGTAATTTGTCTGAGACAAGTTAGTGTCAGGGAAGGTAAGCTAATAGTTATAACATTTCGTACGGACGTATTTTGCCATATCCCATCTTTCCTTAACCCAGGTTTTGTATATTCTCTCTACCAAGATATATATATATATATATATATATACATGTCGTGACACTTTAGACACCCTGTAAATCTCAATGCCTTATTTTACTATGACGCTCTGACACTATGCTTGCTAATGGACAAAGGTTTGTTAAAAAATTGTACACTATTTATTTTTAATAACAAAAATTCAGGTTGTACGCAGCTGATGAGAACCAACGAAATAAAATGGATCCAGATTATTCTGCGCCAATGTTTCTTCTCTCTTTGTTCATATTTGTGATTACTGGGTTTGAAAACAGCCTGTGAGAGGTGCAGCTGCTGATACAGAAAATAATCTCGTATCAACAGTTCAGTGGTACCAGCACTAATTTTCTGGATCCCATTACAGGGACTCACATCAATTCTATCTAAGGCTTTTGTGGAAGGTTAAAAAACAGGATTAAAGCCATTAATAGATTGCAAAGCGATGTCATTTAGATGAATATATGTATACGATGTGGTGTAAGTTTTCCATCGATACTCCTATGCTAAACTGGGACATGCTTTTATCACAAGTGAGAGAAAGGTATCCTTTGTAACACTTTTCCTCAGTTTTTATGCATTTTTTCGTAAATATATGTATTCAATGCCCCAAAATGCTTCTTTCACCTGGTTGGTGCGTTCAAGCTCATTCGCTGATTGGTAGTTGGTGATGCTTAGAGTTTGACTTCGCCCTTTTATTTGAAGATCCTGAATGAAGAGAAAATATCATATAGTCAACTGAGCTGAAAATCCTGCACATTATATAAACACTGTTCTGAATAGATAGTGACATTTATTAATACTGCTGGACAAATATTAGTTCATTCAAATAATACAAAAGCCAGCATAACAGAACTAGTTACTTAGTGTATCAAAAGGAATCATGGTTTCTATACAAAGTATATATATATATATATATATATATATATATACAAATCGCTCCTTGAAGACTCCTCGTGCTTCCTTCTTTACTGCTGTGCTTTGTCTTCTTTTTCCCTCACAATTTTAGCTTCTATATGAATTTCCGAATGATGATAAAGAATGTCGATATTTGGCGACTTACAGTGACAATCTGAAGAGATCGGCAAAAATGACTGGTCCCAAATCCTACAACCGTCTAGCAAAACAACCATAACTTTATTCTGCGACTCGTCCTGGATGACAGTTGTGGAACTTTAATTTTATACCAATAGATAAATCCCAATCACCATCTGTGCAGCACCATTTAATCTGGCAATTCAATAAATAACGAACATATGCTGATGGTTGCATTTATTACCTCACTGACTTGTGTGGTGATAATTTCCAGCTCCGGCGAAGGAAAAGTATCATATCCAAAGTCAAGATCTTCCAGAAGCTGACCTTCAAGGACCGATCGGATACAGGGATTGCCTTGAAATGCCACTCCAAATCAAACCATGCCTGCGTTTTTGGACTTGGAGAGGGTAGATACAGTATTCCACGTATTTACTTATTCTGTAAATCTATTGTTGGGTAGGGTTACGGATTTTAAAATTAAGTCTCAATGTCTACGATTACGTTTAGGGTTAAAGGTAGGTTTAGGAGTTGGGATTCTGGTTAAAATTAGGAGTAGGTTGAAGAACAGTATCAGAAATATCAATAGATCTCAAACTGCCGTGACCTATAGTCACCTGGATGATTGCATATATCCCACATGGTATGATTTCTCTAGAAGTCATCTGTGTAGTGACTGAGAGACACTCTTACAACACGTAAGCGGCGACTATGTAGTGTAATATCATGTTTGCAATGTTTTCAGTGCATTTTTCAACGCTTTTGCATCCGAATTCTGACCGGTTGTTCAAGGTCACTGTGTTTTTCGCTTTGACAGTTTAACTTCGCCACAGCTCCCTAATGCTCTACTTGTCACATTATATGGATTAGTTTGCCATTATTCTGGTTCCTAGCCGCGTATGGACTAAAAATTTTCTGTTGCTGTTTACTGTTGATGTAATAATACTTTTTTGTACGTTTGACTGGACACTTATTGACTTAGTGAGATGCTGGCAGTTATAATTGCTAATAACATTGTTACTGGTAAACTGACTGACGTTTTAAAATACAATTTTATCATTTAATGAATAATCTACTGTAGTGCCGGCCTTCAAACAACGATTTGAAGCAGACTGCAAAGCTCACGTTAGCAGGGTGATCACACAAGCAGGCGCGTGCTAGTAGGCACGAAGACTCAAGATCAAGGAATATATTTTCAACAAATCATATTACAATTAGATGAAAAGGGAAGAATCTTCATATGGGTTGTCCATCTCGTCGTCTTGAGAGACCAATCCATCCACGCCGCGCAGCCAACCCGAAATCAGACAAGCATACAATTTAAACATAAGTCAACCTCCTGACTTACTACACCTTACACTACCATGCCTATTGTAACAAGCAGAGCAGCAGGCACACAGACAATGGAAGAAGACCACGAGCTGTGTAGAGGACACTTACTCCACAAGAATCAATTTTCAAAAGTGGGGCATCCAGTCTTGCAGTCTAACAGTTTTCGTTGTCTTCGTCAAGGTTCACAACTTGCAGTTGTCATATTTCCTGGTCCAGATAGTTGACCCCCGAGTGTCATCCTGCAAGGAAAGGAAGTAAAACATTGATAGGTGTTTATCATATAGACTTAAGTTCCGTTACACTACCTCCCTTTTTCTGGAGGCACTGTCCTCAGCACCAGATGGAGGAACTGGGTGTTATGCACCCCCAGCAGCTGGAACTTCATATTGGCAGGTGGCGGCGCGTCTGGGAGAGGAAGATTATTGGAGGGGAACGTGCGATGAAGTTTATGTTGATTTTAGCAAGAATAACATCGGCACTCGTCTGCTGAAGGTTTTTCAGGATGTAAGTAGTCTGTGAGCATGTCCGCACCATTTCGAAAGGCCCTTGCCACGGGGAGCAGAGTTTTCAGAAAAGTCTAGGGCGACGTTGAAGTCAAAGCTAATCGCCGACACAGTAGACTGGGCGACGAACAAAACGATCCTACACATTCTTCGGATGATAACGTGGTGACTGTTGTTGAGTGCGCGCCAGTTCATAAGTGACTGCCAAATGGTTGCGTAATTCCCCAACATAAGCAATATGGTGGGTTTGTTCAAAGGGTGAGGCGGGTACTTAAGCTTCAACAGGGTGACGTAATTCATGACCGAACATAAGTAACGCAAGAGAGATACCTGTGGATGAATGGACGAAAGAGCGGTAGGCAAGGAGTCATTTAGGTAGTGTATCGTCCCAGACGTCGATTGACATGCAGCTGAGAACTGCTTGCAGTGTGTTTTTATTTATTTATTTTTTTTATTTTTGATCACAGCTTGATGCCACACCGTATTTTCAGTACAAGTATGGCATTTTCAGCATGGATATCGGTAGCCCAAATTTGCAGGCCGACCATAGATATCGGGTGTGCGTCGGCAGGGGATCGATCTTGATCGCTCACTGGATACTAACACCAGTGCTCAGGTGATAGGGATGTCCACTTACAGGTTACGCCTGGCGGACAACTGCGAGTAATTTCATACGCTAGCCAGGCCCTGGAGGACAGAGGAACACGGTATTCTGCGACTCGCCATGAGATACTGGCATTCTGGCCAACGTGCTGCTCTAGAGAGCCGACTTATCCATCACATCTGCAGCGTATTTGGTATGAAGAAGATCCACACGACTGCCTATCATCCAGAGTGAAACGGCTTGGTGGAACGTACTAATGGCACGATCAAGAGTACACTGCGAGTTTTTAACAATAATAGTAAGTTTACACTTATTTTGAACGGGTAAGTTTACATGAAATGCTTGCCACTTTTACAGGCAGGACTAGTTATGTTATAAATTACAATCGTGAATTACCATAAATTAGTACTTTCTCAAAAGTTTAAATTTAAGCAATTAGAACATGTTCGTATAAATTTGAAGCTGTAAACCCTCCATTGAGGTCACCATTAAGGTTGAGCGCCAACCAAATCTTCGTTTCGTTTCCTGCTGATAGTCGTAGTCAAAAAATGAACAGCATATATTTGGGTAAGTGCTATACCTCCACGTGATTAAAGGCTATTTCAGGAGGAGGAGAACGTCTTTGGAAGCTGCAAAATGGTATAAAATATAATTGTGAATAATGGATCTTTGAAAGTACATTAACAAGATTAATACGAGAAGGAGCTTCAGTCCTTGCAATGTATAGTTCTAACTATGTTGCTCTTACCATGGAAACTATGACTTTTCCGACGGAAATATGGCTTTGCTCAAGCATTATAGTTTTTTTTTTCATCAGAGCAAACAGACTTAAAGCGAGCGAAGAATGTGAATGAAAAGAGGGCAAAGTTTCAATAATAGCGTCCCAAGGACGCGAACGCATGAGTGACTTTGAGCCGACCAATCATAAAAATGAGGAATTTTTGCACAAAAATGACGGATACTTACAAGAAAATGCATGGAAACACATTAAACAGGGTATCTTTCTCTGATATGACTTAGAAATACGTCCAAGTTATAATGAGGAGTATCAGTTGCTAAGTTAGACTGGTTTCTGTGCATGTATTCACCGAGGTGACTGAAGATGAGCTGTTTTTGTGAATCGTTTATCTCTCTTATTCTGTTGTGCAGTCTTCCCCAAAAGCCCTCGGTTGAATTACTATGGTTTGCAGTAAGAGGATCGACGACTACTTACCAGGAAAATGTGGATGATAAAACAAATAAAAATAAATTACATCAACTCTAAATCTATCCCTAATCGTAACCCTAACCTTAATCCTGACCCTAACACTAAACCTTATCCTAACCGTAAACCAAAATGACAAAGTTAAACCTTATGCACCACTATCTACCAATCAGTGAATGACCTTGACGCACGCGCCAATCATATGAAGGAGACACTTTTGGTTATTGAAAACATATATTTCTGAAAAAAATTCATATAAGCTGCATAAAACTATTTCATCGGGTACCTTTCTCTGGAATGTGGTAAAAATATCTCCCAGTTGAGCATAAGAGCAACAGTTGTAAAGTTACACCATATTTGATGCTTATATTAATCTAAGTGATTAAAAATGACAATTTTGAGGTCCATTATCCTGTAATGGAATCCACAAAACCATCAGAATGGTTCACTCTGAGGTGAATATATCCAAGGGATAATACCTTTTCAGTCATCCATGTGTACGATGACACTTTCTCCTTCTAATAACAAAGTAATTCTCTCCACTTTTCATGACGCGATGTCTCTGCAGCGCTGGTGCCACTGAACTGTTGATAGAAGACTATTTTCGCAGTTTCAGCAGCCACACCTATCACAGGCTGTTTTAAAACCCAGTAACTACAAATATACAAAATATGGGTTGAGGAAAAGTTGGATCTGGCAAAAAATGTTCCTTCCCTGACATTTGACTCGAATCAAGCGGAACAGAACCTTCAACTCACATGGATGAAACTCATTGGGGCATTCAAGGTCATCCATTGATTGATAGTTAGTTGTGCTTAAAGTTTAACTTGGCCCTAATTCTAATTATGACCCTGATCCCAACCCAAACACAATACTCACCCTAACCCTAACGAGCTATTAACAGTACTTAAAAACGTGATCTAGGTGAAATTTGCATCCTGGCTGGTGAATAGCGTTGATATTTTAGTTATGATAATGACAGGTGCCGTTAGCATGCGTCGGTGGCACAGTGGTTAGGACTGTCGCCGACCATGCACATGGTCCGGGGTTCGATCCCCTGCCGGCGCACACCCGATATCTATGGTCAGTCTGAATTTGGGCTACCGATATCCATGCTGAAAATTCCATACTTGTACTGAAAATACGGTGTGGAATCAAGCTGTAAATCAAATATAAAAAAAATACAAATATAAAAAGGTCATTGGAACGTTCGCACTCCTGGGACGCTATTGTTGAACTTAGCCCAGTTTTGTTTGTTCCTTCTTATGTACACCGAATTATGTGAAAACCTAGTCACTGTATGTAACCAACTATTTAAGTATAAGTGTAATTAAGTTGATATATTCGACACTTCACAAACTTTTTACACACCCATTATCCCTTATATTATTTGACACAGAGCCGTTATTCAAAATGTAAACGTTCATTTTCCAACCGTAAGGATTACTGCATTACTTATTATAAAATACTTTCTTCATTTCAGGATACTTCCATGAATCTACTCGATGATGGGTAACTGGCGTAATTAAGAAATCCATCCAATTAAATAAACTCTTAATCTACTTGTGTATATAATTAGTAAATTCGAGCTGTGTAATACTTATAACGCAGTAATCTGAGGAATTGTTCAAGAGCACTTAAATATAAATTGTCTGTATTGAACAAGTTTTTTTATGCCTATGGCTTAATTCGATCCTAATACAATTGTGTTTCCTGTCAGGTATTAGAGTGGGAATTAGGCTTTTATTAGGAAAAGTTAAGGACCAGGAAATGAGAGGTTTTGCGGAAATAAAGCGAGAAACGTGGACATAATGACGAAAAAAGCGTATAAACACTACATAAAAAGGGACACAGCACGCCATCTGTTAAAAAGAAGACTGAGAGGCGAATTCTCCTTTATTTTTCCTTTTTCTTCCAACTATAGGCTCACTTCCCCTTTTTTTGATTTGTTGGGAAGTATTTCTACTAATCACTGATTCTTTCGCCGGATCTTTAGTGCCTTTTATCCTCAGTTTGGAATTCATGGCCTAGCTGAGCAGTTTTAAGTATTGTGTTAATAACCCGACCTGAGATGTTGCGTACTAAGTAACTTCGTTGTGTTACTTCCTTATGTCATGTGGACTGTTTCCTGCCTCAAATTCTTCTGACACTTTTTTTTCTCACATACTATGAGAAGACATTTTCCTCGGTACCATAAGAAACAATAATTTACTGGAGAACTGTATTGATGGTAGACTATTATATCTTCGTTATGTTGGGCATAAAAGAAAGGTTGGACACGAGTTTTGGAATTCGAATTCAAACTTGAACGTCGGACTTTAAAAAAAATTAAGATATTCGAATAACTCAAATTACAATAATGATACAGTGACACGAAAAGGAGTAGGTATATTGCATTCGCCATCATCATAAGTTAGGCATACATAAGCAAGTTAGTGATGGAAGAGCTTGAGAGAATTGTGCTGCAGAGGATGACGCAGCGTGACCAGTTCCTAATGCAGTTGGTCTTCAGGAGCTCAAGATTGTGGAAATGAACACACATCACTTGCAACTTTCAAAATAGAATACTTGATTGACATTATCAGCAGTAAGTAGGTCTTCTTTTAAACTGATATACGGCATTTAAAGATCTCATATGTGTAGCATGAAGGCGCTGAAAATGCGTCCCATGGATTTCCTTTCCCTTGTATCTTCTAATCACTGTTATTTAACAGGATGATTTGTATTGTTCCTGTTTATTGCGGATCTGGTTAACTTATAAGACAATCGAAAGGAGGAGAGATTAAAGGCATCAAGCCATCAAACTGAACGTCGATTGCACTGACACATCTATACTCATGGCTTTCCTCCACCCAAACCCGCTTAAGTCTTGGCTTCCTGGTAATATCCCAGCCGTTGCACAAACAATGACACAACAAATTCATTAGATTATAATCGCGCACTCACTGTTACTGACTACAATTATACTTTTAGCAACATGGTTATTCCGGACTTTATTTTTACCAGCTCGATAACTTATGGTGTTCTCATTTTCCTTAGGGTTTTACCCTTGTTTGAAATTTCAGTCTATCTGCGCTGTTTTAAGGTGCTAGTGACTAGCTTTCAAGGTGCTGGTCTCCGCTGCAAAATCCAACTCGGAAATCCTGAAACTGCGTATTGCGTTCAATCTTGCTACCTATGATGTTTGCACACTGATACAAATAGGACAAAATGCAGGTGTGGCCAAAACATTTGAAAGCCTCACTTTCGATATCTACTGCATTTCAAAGACGCGCATTCAAGATCCCACTGAAATGCTTCGAAGATCTCCATTTGCAAGTTCAAATTATGTGTAACAACTGTGCTTATACGGGGACTGTGCGGCGTCCGCGTCCATCTTAGTTAGTGTCGGCGTCGCACTAAGTGCTAGGGCTGGAGGTGCATTAATCGACTGGATCTCCATTAACAGACGTTTGTGTTGTGAGGCTAGGAAGTTAGACCAGAATAAGAAGCGATCGGCCAGAGAGGGGGTGCCTGTTAGTCATCTTTATTCGGGAACTGACGGATAGCAGTCCGAATGTAATTGAAGGTGAGTTTTGCTATCGACTGAGCGAACTTCTAAAGCAGGCACGTCAGAGAGATGCCGTAGTTTCTGCTGGAGGTCTGAATACACGGGTCGGGTGTCTAGGCTCAGAGGGGTGTCACCTAGGTCATTGCGGTCTACACAGTTGCAGGTCAGATAATGGGGACTGGTTCCGATCATGCTTTAGTGTGTCCAGTTCAACTTGAGACCTGGCGGTCTTCAAAAGCAATATGCCCTAAAGGCTGATTTAAGCAGATTGGTAACAAATGCTACTTTTGCGACGCACCAGAGTCAAGCATAAGGCTAGCTAGCAACCGTCCAAATAGTATAGATGAACATTGGCTACACCTACAAGATGTTATAAAAAAGGCGAGTAAATCCGCTTGTAGCTTAAAAGAATGCTCCACTGTAAGCCATTGGGTTTTCGCGAGTTCCATTCAACTTCTAGATGCGCACCGGTCTATTCCGGCAGATAGCGAGTACAACAACACGCACGAGGCGCTTACAGTAAGATCAAATAGTACCTATGTAAAGACCTAAAAGTCTAGTCAGAACGTGGGTGAGATAGAATCAATAGCGGCATCTGGCAACGGTCAGAAGCGGTTCCAGTTAATTCGAGCCACCGCCAACAAGAAGAATAATATCAACAAGACAGTCTGTAAGACAGATGGAATGGCGATCAGCCACCTGAAAAGACGTGTGGAACGGTAGGTAGAGCACCTCGAAACACAGTTTACCTAGCGAACAAAGTCAGCATCCAATATAAGTAACTACAGTGCTCCTTGGTCGGTTAACACCGAACCAACAAACGGGTCGGAGACCAAGGAGGAAATCCAAGTTTTGAACCGCTTCAAGACACGGGGCCCACAAAATCCTACCCCCGGCAAATTTCGAAGACGATGACAAGATTCTCTTCACGGAATTGACTGGATTGTTCAGGAAAGTATGGAAAAGTGACTGTAGGATTATTTTTGTCCTACAGATTTAGTTCTTCCTCAATACTGACGACACAGAGTCTGGGCTTAACTATAGTTAAAACAGAATGACTTGACTTTAACTTTATCTGTTTCTAAAACATAAAAGAAATCATACAATTACACCAAGAAAAATGTACAAATCCACTGTCATTACAAAAAAAGGACAAAAACGTACCGAACAGTATTGAGGGTACGGACAAAATGAACAGCCAATTAATTACATGTATACACAAATAGAGTGACAGACAAAAAAGAACATTCAAGGTCACATCACGTGGTGAGAGTTACAATAAATTGACCGATAATCGCGACAAGAAGGTCACATCATATTGATTAACTGTCTATCATATAGTCTATCTATCTATCGCGATTAACAGTGACAATATCCCATGGAAGTGGGATTAAATAATAACTGTGCTCATCTTTGAAAAGGTACTCCGTAAGATGTTTAATAATTATAAGGGTATCAGTTTGTTATCAGTCGCGTGTAAACTATTGGCTGCTGTCTGTTATGACAGAGTGGTACTCGGTTGTGGATTCCCCTAACTTGACTAGAATATGCCTCCAGTACACGACACTATCCTGTCCTAGGACAAAACTCTTCAGTAGTGTACACCCACAACCACACTGAGAAGATTGGATTAGCCGAGTGAATAAATAGTGAACTATCTCATCTCGTCCACTACTAGTGAGGATTTCTGAACCATTCATAGTTGCTCACTAGGAAATACTGACTGTTTATATAAATAAACTATCCTTTATTTTCCTAAACATCATGAGTTTGTAACAACTTCAAAGACAGCCAGATTTTTAGTTTATTGACTCGACATTTTATTCAACATATTTCTTAAAAAAATAGACATCACTGATTACAGTCAAAATATTTCCTACAAATACTTTAGCAATTATGTCTAAATATCTTTGAATAATTCAGCATATGGGAGCTGTACACAAGATAATAAATTCTTTCAAAAGTTAGCTGAGTATTCCGCATAAAGGAAAGGCGGACTGTGAGAATTATATACTTGGTGGACTGCTAAATTATACAACTCATTCATTTACGCACAAGGTCATTAATGTATAGATTAAACACCTTACTGACAAGTTAACAACATTAGAACTAAGTGACATTGGTTTGAGTTCCTTTGAATTTCACTAAGCTCAAAATCTAGGTAAAATACAACTCTTTAACTGATTTAACACTGATATTGAAACACAGATTAGGTTGGTGACAGGATATTGTGGTTTAATAGGTAATGGACACAGCCATTTCTTAGTGAAAAACATGCGCTATTTCTTAAAGTGGAACGTATTGCAGCCAGCACTAACGCTTGCATGTATAAACTGGCTGGCTACTTCACAGATAAGAAGTTATAAAGAAACAATTTAATAGTAATGAAAATAGATAAATTTTCATTCATGTGACTGAAAATCAACAAACTTTAAAGTAAATATTTTAAGTAATTACAAATGAATGACGACACTTCGATGAAAATATGATAGTTTCAATAGAAGTTATTACAAATATTGAGTTGATTAACAAGGCACCGGATACAGTTTTATTTATTGTCTTCATGGATCAGTTGATGAATAGGGAAAATTATCAATGAGTGAATGTGTGATCGTTTAAACACAGGTTGCTGCAGAAACAGACATCAGTGTTGACACTATGTTTGGTGTATTGGGGAAGAGAACAGCCGCACGTCGAAGATTCCACAACAAAAGATCATATTGTTCTAACTGTATAGGTATTCGCTGGTTTTTGCAGATAGTCAACAACCATGAGCCCAAATTGACTAACGCAGAAGCAAACAGCTAGTTAGGAGAAATATTGACAAAAAATGTGAAATTAAACAAAAACCACAAGTTCTTTTGTCTTATTTCCCACTGGTAGATTGATCCACTTTATAACACGAAATACTGATTAATTCAGTCGAAAATATATATGTATACCTCTAATGTCAAGTGTAATTACACTGACCACTTCCCATGCACTTGCGGTAACAAGTACATAAGACGGACTGAAAAGAGACAGTCTAGTAGATTTTCTGAGTATATCCCTAATACTCCATTATGGATAAGATTTTATTTTCATCAATCACACACTGTTACACAGTAATATTAACTGATGACGTTTCGAGCAGAAATTATTGCTCATAATCATATCAAGTTGTGTGAGTAATTATGAGCAATAATTTGTGCTCGAAACGTCATCAGTTAATATTACTGTGTGACTGATGAAAATAAAATCTTATCCATAATGGAGTTACACTCTACCACAATGCCCAAATTTTATACTTATATATC